TTGTGTCGCATCCTAACTCACTGGGAGGGGTGACAGGTGAATACCTCGCTTCTCAGACTGTTGGCTAAGATCAAAGTGTAGTGTCTGTTCTTATTAACTTAATCTGATTCTCTCTCTCTCTTTTTTCCCTCTCTCCCCACTGCTATCTTCCATTCTTTCTTTCATTTTGTCACTGAAACTCTTTCCTCCTCTTTCTCTCCCCACTTATATCTTCCATTGAAACCAAGTAATGTCTTTCCCCCTCTTCTTCATGCAATTAAAACGAGGAATAGTCTATTATTTATGAGGTATTGACAGGACGTGACGGTCGTGCTAACTAACGACTGCAGGGACAAGCGCAATTCTAATAGGATGATATATCATTAGTACTTACATCCTCCACATTCCAGTGAATTCCCACATCGGCTTGGAATTGAACATTCATGTCTGCAAACTGAATAGAATGTTTTAAATTTCAGAAGCAGTCATGTCAATGATCTATCAGTTAATTTATCTTTTCGAAATTATGTCGTCTTCATGTTTAAAAGGAAGCGTTTAATTTAACAAAAAGTTCTGAGCACTTACAATTTCTAATAATCATTCAATTTAAAATTTTCAAACGTAAAACCATTTTGTTTTTAATAATAATCAATAATAATCATTCAATTTAAAATTTGCATGCGTAACACCATTTTGTTTTTAAAAATTGTTTCAAAATTTCTGGTTTATTCAGATCTTAAGATGAAATATATTTGCTTACGATCTGCAACTCGCTTAAATTTTCTTTGGGAATTATTACTACACGTTGTGGTGGAAACAACAAATGTACAGATAATCCACAACACACTTCCATCTTAAATTATGGACGATCAAAAGATGAAAAAAAAATCGTATCTTATATAATGTATGAACCGCTTATAGTATTTGGTGGTACAGTGTAACCCGGATATAAGAGACCCGGATATAAGAGAAACCCGGATATAAGAGAGATTTTCTCTGGTCCCAAATTAGAGCCTGTGTTAATGTATATAAATTAGACCCAACCCGGATATAAGAGAAACCAGGATATAAGAGACTTCTTCTCCGGTCCCGACAACTCTCTTATATCCGGGTTACACTGTATATAAAACCCACTTTCTATGGAAGAAATGGTCGCAAAAATTGTCTTGAGTCTTATATATAAAGTGGTTGGCTTTTTATAGGCTATGTTTATTACTATCGAATCGTAACTGACATAACTTGCCAACCGTTAAAACACGACGAAATGCCCAAATGATTCTAAGTGTAGCTTAGATGTGGCACAAGGCCGAAAGTGTGACGCACTCAATGAGGATCGAACCTACTATTCAGTGGTTATCGATCTAGCGAGACAAACTTGCTAACCAGTACACTACGCCGAAGTGCCAAATAGCGATTTTCTAAGCGTACTTTAGATGTGGCAGAGGCCGAATGTATGGAGCACCCAGTGAGACTAGAACTCACTACTCAGTAATTGATTTCGCGGGGCAAGCTTGCTAACCATTAGACCACGTCGAAATGCTTCCAGTGCCTTTATTTACGTTTAACAGTAATGTTACCTTGCTTTTGTTTTTTTTATTTTGTTTTGTTGTGTTGTTTTTTTTTGTTTTTTTTTGGGGGGGGGTTATAAAATGTTTTCATCCTTGTTTTCCCTTATGTTATGTTATTTGTATTCCCAACCGGCTTTAACGAAAACTGAGGACTCGGGCATTGTGCCACGACATTATACTCATAAAGAGACCATTCACCGAAACACACTATTTACCCATAGATGGGACCCTAACAGGTGCTACCACCCCGGGTCAGGAACAACAACAATTAAGAGATGGTTCCACGCCCTTAGATAATCTTGTACCCATTAATTATGTCGTTAAATACGGTAAATATTATATTACTCTTCATGAAACATCAAATGTCTTTATGATAAACCGGATGTAATTCTCATTTAATTAATTGTCATAAAATCCCAATTATTCAAATTATGTAATCATTTTTATATTGAAATTGTTATTGATATTATTATTATCTTCATAAAAAAAAAAAGTGTTTTTAAACATCTAAAATGTATTTTATTTATGATAAAGCAAAGAAAATGACTTTCTCATTTATTATTATTTAACCAATTCACAATTATTCAATGTAATCACTTTTATATTGACTTTGTAATATTGACATTAATATTATATTACTTTTCATAAAAAAAAAGTGTTTTAAACATCTAAAATGTATTTTATTTATGATAAAGCAAAGAAAATGACTTTTATTATTTATTATTATTTAACCAATTCATAATTATTCAATGTAATCACTTTTATATTGACTTTGTAATATTGACATTAATATTATATTACTTTTCATAAAAAAGTGTTTTTTAAACATCTAAAATGTATTTTTTTTTATTTTAATAAAAAAGAAATGACTTTCTCATTTATTATTATTTAACCAATTCACAATTATTCAATGTAATCACTTTTATATTGACTTTTTTCATAAATAGTTTTTTTCACATTAATATTATATTACTTTTCATAAAAAGTTTTTTTTAAACATCTAAAATTATTTTATTTATGATAAAGCAAAGAAAAATTAATATTATATTACTTTTCATCATTTATTATTATTTTAACCAATTTTATTATTATTTAACTTATTATTCATGTAATCACTTTTATATTGACTTTGTAATATTGACATTAATATTATATTACTTTTTCATAAAAAAATGTTTTTAAACATCTAAAATGTATTTTATTTATGATAAAGCAAAGAAAATGACTTTCTCATTTATTATTATTTAACCAATTCACAATTATTCAATGTAATCACTTTTATATTGACTTTGTAATATTGACATTAATATTATATTACTTTTCATAAAAAAGTGTTTTTAAACATCTAAAATGTATTTTATTTATGATAAAGCAAAGAAAATGACTTTCTCATTTATTATTATTTAACCAATTCACAATTATTCAATGTAATCACTTTTATATTGACTTTTTTAATATTTTTAAACATTAAAATGTATTATATTTATGATTCATAAAAAAGTGTTTTTTAAACATCTAAAATGTATTTTATTTATGAAAAGCAAAGAAAATGACTTTTCATCATTTATTATTATTTAAAAATGACCAATTCATAATTTATTCATTATTCAATGTAATCACTTTTATATTGACTTTGTAATATTGACATTAATATTATATTACTTTTCATAAAAAAGTGTTTTTAAACATCTAAAATGTATTTTATTTATGATAAAGCAAAGAAAATGACTTTCTCATTTATTATTATTTAACCAATTCACAA